ATACATTGTGGTGAGCGCAAAAAGATGGATATATCCAATACTTATACACTACAAGTAAATCTCACAAAGGGATTCTAGGCACCATGGAGATAATGGAATAGATTTTGGGGTACACAGGGCTTTAATACCCTCTCCCAGCAGGGATCTGGATTCTGGGATCTTTGAGGCAATCATCTTCCTATCCCATTTCAATCTTCCCTTCCTTCCAGTGGGGGCAGCAGATTAGGGCAAATTGGTCATGTGATTAAAGGATCTTCCTGATCATGGACTCAATGTTCCTTCTTTTGTCTTCTGTTAGTGTTTCCTAATCTGGGTTCTGTTTTATTTCATATGGCCATAGTCTGTAACTTTCAGGAGCTCTACTTTGGGCAGAATTCCTGTGGAGGTGCTGGCAGTGAGAAAAGGTCTGTGCTCAACCAGGGTAGCCCTTGCCTTTGAGAACAAGTGGCCACCTGCTCCCTGGCAACAGGGTGCCTCTGAGCACTTGTGGGCTGATAACTACTGGCATTCAAGCTGCTTTGGAGCACAGGGCCACAGACCTGCCTGAAGCTCATGGTAGTAAGTAGCCAGCATTGTGAGAACAACTACAAGATGCATGGGGATAGCAAAAACATATTTCCAAGGTAACTTGATTTCTTCTAATTCTGTCCCTTCCAAGAGTAACTAATATAAACATTTAGCTAATGAGAGAGATGACACATTCCATTGGCTGGCACTTACCAGCAGGTGGTGGAAGATTATCAATGGAACATGTCAGAAAATGATAGTGTCATGTTTTAATCACTAACTAAATGAAAAAGATACAGTGTGAATGAGATCTGACCTTGTCTACCATGTCTTCATCTGCACCTGCCTGGCCTGCTGGTGGAAGGATGGCACCAGAGATGCATCCAGGAACAGACGGAAGTGGGCCTGGAGACACAGTTATAGGGACTCACAAGGTCACCATATGAAGGGCTACATGAGCCATGGACAATGTTGCATTCAGAGAAGGGCACCTTGTCAACCACACAGCCTTAGCACAGGTGTCTCTGGCTGCTCATCTATCTCTTCATTAATACTTTCTTACAACATAAGAAAAGCAATGTGAATTCATGTTTTCCTGACTACTCCATTTCCTTCTAACTTTTGACTCTAACTTTTTCCATGGTATATCAGAAACAGTGTTCTTGCTTTGACTTTAGTGAAGCTGCATTCAAGAATTAGACTTGTCCCTCCCAAGCTATGTGACATTAATTATCTTATTCTCTCTGAGGTTCTGTTTTCTAAAATGCCAGGTGGGGATAATAACTCTTACTGTACAGTGTTTTGAATTAGAGGTATTGCTTGCACAGCACCCCACAAATATAAGGCATAAGCACTATATAGTCATTGGTGGACACTGAAGTTATTTATTTTTCTCTCATCCTGCCTTCTATTATTTCCCACCTTTAGTATTTATTGTGTACAGTATTGAGAAGGATCTACAGTAATAAGTCATCCTCTATATTCTCTTATTAATTTGAGTCTACTGTAACTTATAAAACAACTTCTACTAACCCTGGCTACCAGTAGTATCTACTACCTCCAATAAGCTATCGGAATCAGCCTACACATTGTTTTTGATTAACAAAAAATATTTATAATTGTCTTTGAGCCCCCTCTGCATTTATCAGATTGCTGGGAAATGGGTACTCACTTCCACAGCTGTGTAAGCAGTATTGCTGCAGACCTGATACACTGTAGAGTCAATGCAGCAAAAACCTTACGGTATGTATCCTCTTTCCCTTGGCAATCCAAAGAATTTACTCTAAGAATATAATTAGTTTTGTTCATGAAAATCTATGGATGAATGTGTTCTTACAACATTTTTAATTGTGAAAAGAAGGGGATAATCCAAGTGTTCAAAATAGCAGATTTATTAATTTTGTATATCCATTGTGATACATCCATATAGTGGAAAACTGTTATTAATAAACATTTGGCAGGCAGTCATATGTGCTGATAAGGAACAGTATTTGTACTATGTGTGTGATAAATACAAGGAGTGAAACAATATCACAGGGGGTCCTGCTTTGGCAGAGAAGGGAGCCGCTTGCTCAGCTCTTCCAAACTGGGCGAGGAGTCAATTGGCTCTTTGCTTTCTGGCCTTCCTGGTGTAGTGATTGGCTTCAGAATTAAAAAGTTTAGGAAAATACTCCTGAAGTTATGTGCCTCTTATGAACTGAATGTGTCCATCCAAAATTCATTCATAAGGTTGAAATCCTAACCCTCAAGGTGATTGTATCAGGGGGTGGGGAGGTCTTTGGGAGGTAATTAAGTCATGTGGGTGGAGTCCTCATGAATGGGATTAGTGTGCCATGTGAGTACATGAGGAGAAGTGAATTCTGTGTGACCTGATATGTCTTTGACCAGAACCCAATCATGTTTATACCCTGATCATAGATTTCTCCAGAACTGTGAGAAATACATTTCAGCTTTTTTTTTATGAATCAGTCACTCTGCACCATTTTGTTATAGGACCCCCAACTAAGATAGTGTGCCCTTGGTGCAGGCACTGGGACTCATGTACACACTATTGTCTCCCCCTGCCACACACACCCATGAGACAAGTGCAGCTGGGTTGGGGATTAGGTGCTTGACCTCTGCACTAAGGGGTGTGATACTGGGGCCACATCTTTATGAGCCTGTCTGTCAACAGCCCCCTCACCCAGTGCCACAACCACTGTGGCAAGGGATAAGGAGGTCCCCTTTGCTTCTGGTCCATGCTGTGTTCTTCAAGCCAGCTCAGGAGAAAGCAGACACTCTATGCACATACTCATTGTCCTCCCTTATTTACCTCATTTGATTCAGAACCCATGAGGAAACAAGGATTAATGAATACCTTCAAACCTCAATGTACATATACTGTGTTCTTACTTTTGTGAATATCCATGTGGCAGAACATGTGGAAGGGTGCACGCCTAAGTGTAACATTCTTCTTCTCTGGGGGATGAGATTATTTTCTTGCATGAGCTGTAATCATTAGAATTATTCTATTTATGCTATTAAAACAGAAGTAATGTGCTCCCTGGATTTATTTTCCATTACAGCACAAATTTTGGACCTCCCCTGCTGGGATGGAAGCTGTGAGCTAGGAAAGAAATATGGGCACTAGGGTTTGCTGGACATCCACTGTGTGTCAGGCATGGCACAGGAGCAAAGGCAACATTTTTCATTCAGTCTTCCTATTAGCCTTATTAGTTCAGGATTTTCATGTACATTTATAAGTGATAAAATTGTGGATATTTAATGATTTGAATGATGTTACATAATTACTAAGAAGCAGAGAGGGTCAAGACGTTACCCTCCATATGGCCTGTTCCCAAATACATGTCCTTCCCACTCAAATATCCTTATAAATTAAAAGTAGTAATGTTAAAAAAAAATTAGAACATGTACAGCATCAATGGTGTAGTCAAATTGACATCACAGAATGCAGAAACTCAGGAAAGTACCACTGTCACAATAAACACACTCACATTTTTCCTAAATCCCAGCAAACTTAATCCTTAGAAAACTAGAAACCACACAATTAATAACAAGTATGTTGGTTTTTAAGACAAGCATTTTGCAAATAGTGTTGAGAATATCATGTGCGGGCTTGACTGCCAGAAGAGAGAGAAAGAGGAACAAATAATAACATTGAATCTCTCAAGGTAGCAGCACCACCTGAGGATGCTGGGAAAGGGTCACCAAACCAGAGCCTCTGATCTAATCACCCTGCAAGCATGACTGGGTCCAAGGAAAGTACAATAACTGATTTTCACAATGATGGTACTGAGTCATGAGGAAAAGGTTATGTTTTACATGCAGAATTATCTGTTTAAGAAGACAAGGGAGCATTTAATCCATTTGAGATTTTTATTTCAAACAGTTAGAAATTCTCTCAAGAGATATTTGGTGCTTAAAGTAATAAGTGACAGTTATCTGGAAAATTCACTTATGTGAAATAAGGCCTCCCCTAAAGATTCTAGATCAGTGAAACTGTGTGTTATAGTTATTGAGGCTTCTATCCCGTCTCATTTTTTGTCATTTTTATTGTCCAGGTTTCTCAAGCTTTTCACAATTCATAAGCTCCAAATACTGGATTGTAAATTACTTGAAGCTAAAGATTCTGACTTCCTTTCCTGGACATCCCACATCCCTATGGTGGGCAGCCTATTTTCTGCCATGAAACAAATGATAAACTAACATTTATGAAAAAATGACTGATTCCCAGGGCATGCATAAGTATTAACAAAGCACACCTGACATTTTGTGAAATCCCTTTGTGGCTTTGGTAGGCAGTCCTAGAAGGATTTTTCATTTCCTTGGTTTTGTTTTTGCAAACATGTTAATAACTAAACCAAACATTTACTCTGAAAAAATAGCCATGGGAAAAGATTTTAAAAAGGGGTTAACCTAATTTTTAGAAGCAAATTTTATTTTAATAAAATAAGTTCCCATTAGGGCTTCCACTTTTCAGGTAATTAATACTGTCCCTGCTTGACCAGTGGTCTCATTGCCTAACACTGTTCCTTGTGTATCTTTTGCCCCAGACAGAACTCAATGTTCTTTAGTGAATGTGCAGAGATCCTTGGTGCCTTCTCATATGCTATTCCCTCTGCCGGAAATGCCTCACCTCCATATTTTTTTATGTATGGCTCAAATTCTGTCTTCAATTGCCATTGCTCTTAAGACACTTTTCATTATCACAACTATTGCAGAATGGGTGTCATCATCATTCCCTTTTGGAAATGAGGAGAAACTGTAGGAGTCTATGGAAGGTCCTCCTGGGTATACCCTGGTTGTCAAAGTGATGACTAGCCTATCTTCTTCTAGCAGTCTTTCTCACCACTGATTCATGCGGGGTGGCAACTGTAGCTTCCTTGTTGCCAAACACTCATCTCCATAATATTCCAGGTTGGTGGAGCCCTACTGCCACCCTGTGATAGACTTGCATGACCATGCATAGTGGTAGGGGCAAGGGTGAGCCTTACCTGGTGTGTTAAGCAGGCGAGACCTCCTGCAGTAGTAGGCCACCTCCTGCTCACAGTGCTCTGAGCTGTCAATCACAGCCTCCAGCTGCTCTATGCTGCCCCCATAATCCAAGGCCATGAAGTAGGGATTCTCAGGGCTGGCACCTTGCACATGGGTCAGTTTTGTGTTGTTGTGCTGCACCAATGTCCATATTTTGTCCTCTGCCAGAGAACACAATGAAGGAGAGTACAGGTTAGAAGGCAGTTCAATAAAAGATCACACTTATGTACCTCAATAAAGCTGAAAGGTCATGCAGTCAGTTTGATGGGTGGCATGACATGCAAAAATTAATCACCACCTGAGTGCTCTGATCACATAAAGAATTTGATCAGCCCTGGCTGGTATGGCTCAGTGGATTGAGTGCCAGCCTGTGAACCAGAGGGTCTCCAGTTGGATTCCCAGTCAGGACACATGCCTGCATTGCAGGCCAGGTCCCCAGTTGGGGGTGTGTGAGAGGTAACCACACATTGATGTTTCTCTCCCTCTCTTTCTCCCTCCCTTCCCATCTCTCTAAAAGTAAAATAAATGATATATATATATTATATATATATATATTATATATATATTATATATATATAATATATATATATAATATGACCAGAGAGTTTTTGCTCCTCATAGAGCTCCACTGGAAGTTAGAATAAAGGTTAGTAATCTTTTGAGTTAAAGTTCTGGAGGCTTTGACGGGTTAAAAGGACTTTGAGAATTCTCCCTGTTTATACCTGAGCTATGACCTTCATTGGAAATGCAAATATAGTGCTGTCTCCTAGGGAGAACTAGCCCTTCTCCCCAGGAGATTAGTACCTTTTGATCTTTAGCTGTTCCCTTGGGAGAATTGGCCCCTCTCCCAGAGGGAACAGTTAGTAAGTCAAAATCACATAAGACCCTAGGTGTGTAGCCACTACAACATATTAAATCATAGCCCCCAAAGTGAGACTTTGGAATCCCACCCAAGGGAAGGATGCTTCACTTAGAACTGTTCCCAGACAAACGCTGACCACTGCTGCCTTTGGGATTCCCCACCATCTATGTTCAGGTGTTGGTGATTTCCCATCTGGTGATGTATGGTCTTGATTCTTGCTTTTCTTTCTGCTCTCACTTAATAAAGTGCTGAACTATTCACCTTTGACTTGGGGTCTTTATTGTCTGTAAATCTGAACCTCCAAATTAAGTGGCCATGATCTCATGCATACCCCTTAACGGCACACCCTTACTTCACAGGCTATATGGTTAACACTTAATGTCTATTATCTCTTTTAAAAATCAATATTACTTAAATCAGAAGGGAGTCAATACCACCACATCAGAAATGAGGGAAGTGTGAGTGAGGAGACTTAGGCAGCTTACTTTGGATTACATAGTAAGTGACTGAGCAGTCCTTCCAGCTACTTATATGCCCTACTTAAAAACAAACAAACAAACAAACAAACAAACAAAAAACATTAGCTTTGATGATTATCTCAGAAAACCATAAGATCTGAGTAGAAAATAAGACCTATCCATGGAGAATATCTGTAAAATATACACAATTAACAAGGATGAAATTGTACAATACACACTGAATTCCAAGGCACTTAATTAGAGTTTGTATCATTTATTCTCCATGTTACCTATCTTCGACAAATACATTTGTGGAGACATACAATAAAAGAACATGCAGAGATGAAGACCATTAACTCAGGGAGAGAGAACATGTTTTTCCTATGACAAGTAAGAATGAAAGGTTAGGAGAGTGGAGACAAATTTGTTTATGAAGTGAGAGTTCTGTATGTGGAACCTCTTTCTGCTAATAACAAGCTTGAACAAGTTATCTTACTTTTTGGGTGTTCAGGGTTTTGTTTTGTTTTTTTAAGTTTCTCTTGTTCAATTACAGTTGTCTCCATTTCCCCCTCCCCAATTGCTCTCCCCTGCCCTACCTAACCTCTTCCACATTCAGTCCTCCCTCTACTGTCCTTGTCCATGGACCTTTAAACCTGTTCCTTGACTTGAAGCTTCCCCTTCTTTCACTCATTTGTCCCCTTCCCCCTCCCTTCTGGTCACTGACAATTTGTTCTTTTTTTCCATGTCCCTGGTTCTGTTTTGCCAGCTTGTTTCTTTTGTTAATAAGGTTCCACTTATAGGTAAGATCATATGGCATTTGTCTTTCACTTCCTGGATTATTTCACTTAGCATAATTCCCTCTAGTTCTATCTATGCTGTCGTGAAGGGTAAGAGCTCCTTCTTTCTTTTTGCTTTGTAGTATTCCATTGTGTAAATGTACCACAGTTTTCTGACTCACTCATTTACTCATAGGCACTTAGGCTGTTTCCAGGACTTGGTTATTGTAAATAATTCTCCTATGAACATTGGGGTGCATAAGTCCTTTTGAATTGGTGTTTCAGGGTTCTTAGGGCATAATCCAAGCAGTGGAATCATTGGGTCAAAAGGCACTTGTTTCCATTTTTAGGAAATTCTATACTGTTTTCCACAGTGTCTGCACCAATCTATAATCCCACCAACAGTTCACTAGGGCTCCCTTTTCTCTACAATCTCCCCAGCACTTATTTGTTGCTTTGTTTATGATGGCTGTTCTCAATGGTGTGAATTGGTGCCTCACTGTGTTTTTAATTTGAGTCTCTCTGGTGGCTAGTGATGTTGAGAATCCTTTAATATGTCTCTGGACCCTCTGTATGTCCTCCTTGGAGAAGTGTTTATTCAGGTCCTGTACTCACTTTATAATTGGATTGTTTGTTTTCCTGGTGTTTTATCATCAGTAAAAAAGAAAAATAAGCCCTGGTTGGCATAGCTCAGTGGATTGAGCGCGGGCTGTGAACCAAAGCATCGCAGGTTCAATTCCCAGTCAGGGCACATGCCTGGGTTGTGGGCCAGGTCCCCAGTGAGGGCCACATGAGAAGCAACCACACATTGATGTTCTCTCTCTCTTTCTCATTCCCTTCCCTTCTCTAAAAATAAATAAATAAAATATTTTTAAAAAAGAGAACACTGTTATAAAAATAAAATGAATGAATGAATACATAAATAAATAAATAAATAAATGGACAGGAAAACCACCTATACTGTTGCCAAAAATATAGTTGCGAGGGACTATTTGAGAGGCATCATATATACTGTAATAATAACTTAAGCTAAATAATTTGCTGCAGTTGGACATAGAATTTAATTCTGAACATGCTTACAAATAAAGCAAAGGAGGAATAGAAAGTCTTAAAAAGCTTTTGTCATCTTAGAATCTTTACCACATAATATCATCAATATTCTTCCTAGATTTTCAGGGCTGAAAAGTAGCCCAACACAGACATCATGTGATTTCCTTCCTTCCTCACTTCCTCAGTCTTTCAAATGAGAAAACCAAGGTCTAAAAAGTGAAGAAATAGTCCAAGGTATATCTATTAGGCAAAGATGGTGGGCATATACTCTGGAAGTAACCACTGTTAATTAGCACTACCAAAAGGCTAGACTATTACTTGCCTTCCACTTTAGTGTCAGTATAATAAAAGGAGGAAAGAAAAAATAGAATTTGGTTCTAATGATCTCTAAAGTACTTGCCAACTCTAAAAAAATGACCCATTTCTTACAGCATAAAATTGAACTATGCTCAAGCATTCTGATTCATCTTAAGTATAAGGCCAGCCCACTTACAACCCAGATGTCTCTAATGTTTAATTGAAGCAGAATTACATTTTCTATAAAGTCTAAAAACAAATTAGAATGAAGGTTACTGGATTTTGACTTTGAACATAAAAATAGGATATGGTTCATGTTGGTAAAAAATAATACTACACACATAATTATCATAAAAAACAAAAATGCTGGTGCCAATATGGACAAATGGTGACAAAATAACTAAAGGAAAGTAATTGCTCAATAATGTATTGTTGTAGAGGGACAAATAAAGACTGACAGTTTTAAAATGCCCATAGTGCTTAGAAACAGAAAAAGAAAGCCCAGTCTAATAATAGATGATATGTTACTGTCCCATTCTGGGACATTTTATAACCCTACTTATGACAATCTACCATGGTAGACATCTATATATCTATGACTTTATATATAGATAATTGAAGGATCCAGGAAATCAAATTTGTCCCAAATCTTACTGTATCCAGTGTGTTTGATTTCAAAAGTGATCCACACAGCATTGTTAAATCTTAGGAATTTGGATTTCCCTCACGATGAACACAGATTTTCATATCTATGTATTCACTCATCTAATTGTTCATACATTCATTAATTTACTTGCTTATTCTTGTAGTCATTGGCTCATTTTGCCAAAATCATATTCTGTCTTTGGCAAAATGGAAAAGAAAGCTGAGTTAGACAGATGATCTTTCTTCTTAATGCCACTAATACTGCCAACCCTTGCCTCTGTACCCTGTGGTAACAGGGTAAATTGAAGTTTTAATGATTCAATTATTGGCATTTTTGATATATGTAATATACAGAAGATACAAGGAAACAATAAGAGCTCCAAAGTGCTCTCACAATGCATTTAGACATCAGAGCCCTCATTGCAAGCATAAGATGAGTGACAGGAAGAGAGCTGATTAGTCAAAACCTAGGTCTCTTTGTTGCCTTTCCTTTCAAAAATAACTTTTTTCCTCTGATTATTTTTTTCTCCTGGGAGACAGAAAAATAAAGACTGAAAGCAGGGGAGTAAATGACTATTATCTTTTCTCTCTTTCTATTTCTTCCCCTCAGCTTCCCCTGCAGCAGTGCTGATTAAGCCCTGACCCTGATAGTATTAAAGGCCAGCAGTCAGTGCCACTTGGAGCTGACCATGGTGGCTGATGTTCAGGCTGCCTGGTCTAGGATGGGTACTGTAATTTTAACTAGAGAAGGAGAATGTGAAGGTCAGCTCTGAAGGATTTTCAAAAAGGTAAGATTTGCTCTGGACAGTCTTTTAGGTGCACGCAGGGGATTCATTCATGAACCCACACATGCTTGTACTAAAATTGGACCCATGAAGCCAAATATTCAAAAAGGTCAATTTAGTCAAAGGGTAGGTGGACATTAGTGTATGCAGCCTTGGCTCTGAGTTCAGAAGATCTGGATTTGTGTGCCGGCTTGCTACTTAACTAGCTAAGCAACCTTGGTCAAATGATTACTTTTGTAAAGTTATGTTTCCTCATCAGTAACATTTGAAAAGCATCAATGACACCAA